CCGTGCCCGACCAACGTCACGCCCAAGCCCACGTCGACTGACGCGCCGGTGACGCCCAAGCCGACGTCCACTGACGCACCGGCTACTTCGACGCCATGCCCGACGAGTGTCACGCCAAAGCCGACGACGGTCTCGCCTGCCCCTACTACGGTCTCGCCTGCCCCTACTACGGTGTCGCCTGCCCCTACGACGGTCTCGCCCGCTCCGACGACGGTCACTCCTGCCCCGACGACCGTGCCTGTCACGCCGGCTCCGGGCAAGGCGCTGCGTTTCTGCACATACAACCGCCAAGCGCTCTCCGAGTACTACGGCGACGTCTACTCGGACGTGCTTCGCTCCAACAAGAACGAACAGTTTGTCTACAACCCGACGGCGCAGACGCTCGTGTCCGAGTCGAACGGCCAGTGCCTCGACGCGTTCCGTGACAACAGCAACCGCTACCAGCTGCACACGTACCAGTGTACCGAGGGCAACGCCAACCAAAAGTGGCTCTTCAACACCAACACCAACCGCATCGAGCACAGCACGCACCAAGGTCTTTGCGTCGCGTCGGGTCCCGCGGGTGCCAAGGCGCGCGTCGAGCCGTGCAGCCAGAGCATCCAGCAGTTCTTCAGCGACTGCGACAGCTCGGCCACCGTCGGTCTCCGCTTCCAGACGTGCTACACCAACTCGTGGCTCTCCGAGTTTGACACGGGCCTTTTCGCCGACAAGCTCCGCAACAACGTCAATGAGAACTTTGCGTACGACCCCGTCGCGCAGACGCTCCAAGTCGGCAGCAACGGCCAGTGCCTCGACGCCTTCTCGAGCGGCTACGGCAAGTTTGGTCTTCACACGTTCCCGTGCGATGCCAAGAACTCGAACCAAAAGTGGGTCCTTCAAGACAAGCTGGTCAAGCACGCGACGCACCCCAACCTGTGCTTGGACGCCGACCCGACCGACGATCGCCACAAGGCGCAGGTCTGGGACTGCACAGCGTACAACAAGAACCAGTGCTGGAACATTTTGCGCCACTAAATTTTGTCCAATGTAATCAAACTACGACCCTTCGTTTTGCCTTGACAAGTCGAATTCGTCTCTTGGTGCATAAGCCACGATATTTCGAGACAAAATCACTGTGCTCGATATGCGGGACTCTCGTCGAGGTGGCTCGATCTTCAGAGGCACGACGTATTACAAGATATTCCCGAGTCCAGCACCTCTTACTACAGTATCACGCCCCGACCTACAGGCCTCATCTCCACACATGTGCGTCTGCTTGCACAGTGCAAGCGCTCCTACGAGCTATTGGAGTGCAACGACCAAAGAGCTATTGACAGCAACCTCTTGGTGTCGGCTACATGGTGGTGACCGAGGTCGTCTTTTGAACCAAGAGCATCGGGACAGGCTTCGGCTATAGTATTGCAGCCCAATATACCGCCGCTCGACGCTCTGTTAGGACGGCCACTCGCGCCGCACGGCCCACCATTTTCAATTCTGCTCGATCAAACCGATTTTTCCAATCTAGCAGAGCTCCCACGCACCCCAGCTTGCAAAAGCGGCCAGTGCAAAGACTTCGGGTCCTTTCCAGCTTGGACGACGCTCAGCGCTGGTCATCAGGTGAGCTCTGATTCCTATGTAGGCTTACCGATCGATGCGTACGTCAAGTATGTATGGTCAGTGGTGTGTCGAAACACCCGCTTCAGAGGCAACATCGCTGGCGGCCGTCAGCGTGCCACGTCATTCGTGGCGCCAGATAAGGTCCACACGTGATCGACGTCGTAGCCTCCCTTGCTGTTTATGCACTGCACGCATCGCAGTAGCGACGCTTTCTTCTTCCACGGGCATCCACGTTGCGACTGTGCGTCCGGACTTTCCGCTGTCGGCCACAGCTCCTCGAAAAGCGTTTAGGAATGATTGTAAAGATGCATAACGTTTGTCAGGCTCAAGTACGATCTTTAACCATGGCGCTGATCGCGAGACTCGTGACGCTGCGGGG